TATAAGCACTCATCAAGAGTGCCCTACTATGGCCACCCTTTTCGCCCCAGCTCCGCCATTCATATGTACCACCGGCAGCGATGGCGAGGTGGTGGGGTCATGAGGAGGATTTCGTCTAACAGAAGAGTCATCAGCACAAGGGACATTTTATTGATTGTAAGTCATATCCTTTGTGCTGCTTTTCATGTTGTTTCTTTAGTTTTGGCTGCATTTAGGCTTTAAAATATAATGAAAGCCAACACTTTTTAAAAGAGTAATGAATGGTTTAAAGCATTTTTTTTCTTTTTTTCTTTGCTATTCATGTCCCATTGGGGAAATTTTCTTTCACTTCCTGTTCTTTCATCTTCTACACATAAGCACTCATAAGCACTACTGTAAATCCAAAATCCCAAAAGGGTATAGATGCATTATGCAAATAACACTGTCACCTTTTCAGTAAGTCTGTTTGATCGACACACATCAGAGATTCTCCTTGCTTCCCCAGCTCATTTATGCAGACTTTTTTTTGGTAATTCTGGTTTTATTTCTGCATAGGGTAACACTGTTTTCAACAGGTGAAATCCCCAGAGTAAATAAAGAGGCTCAAGAAGTAGAGTTAAGAATTTATTCTAAGTAAACTACATAAAAAGTATAGAGCTTGTCATACAGTAGAGATGTGACCAATTTGAACATCACTTTTGATAGCTGGACAGTGCAGGAGATGAATATTGAGCAATAACTAGCACTTGCAAGCATCAGAAGCTCGTATTGCACAGAAACATTTTCTAGAATCACACTGAACAAAGATTGGTACCTTTAGCTCAGATAAGAGAAGGTTCCTCTCACTCCATGGCATTAAATAGCTAGAAGAATCAGAGAAAAGAGTCATGGCCAGTGCACATGGTATACAATTTCAGCGATTACCGGTTAGGTTTTTTCTGATCTCCTTGGGAGATCTGCTCAAGAATAGTTGGAAGCCAACAGTTCACATTGCAAACTGATTGTATGACCCCCCCCCCCCCCACAACTGTGCAGAGCAAGGATCTTCCTGACTAGATATAAATTAAAGGCCTCATTAAGCAATCACCTATACACACCTGCCTTGTGGCAGATGTCATGACTAGATGTCACCGTTCACTCCATAAAACCACCAAGCCCCCCATTACTTGTCACTTATACCTAAATGATCAGACCAACACAGATTTCGATGAAAATTGGCCGTAGCGGTCATTTATTAACAAATACCCAATGTAAAATATTCCTTTATACAGAAACATAAGGATAAATAATATCCATCAAGGTTGCCTATCTTCGGCACAGAAGGACCAATGATTGTTTCTGTATCCAAGAACACTCAAAGCAACCAGCTTGGGGACAAACCCATTCTTCTCAGATACCTTCATGTCACAACCAAACCTGCCTTACCACCAGCTTTAACTCACCCCTCCTCTCAGCTCCCACCATTCTACTCATTTTTTTGAATCACTCCAGAGCAGTTTTTTTGCCTCCCAGGGTGGCCCCATACAAGTCTATGAGGGCTCTTTGCAAAGAAAAAGAAAAGTTTGCATAGGGCACAGTTCAAGGACCCCCAGTGGGCAGGGGGAAAGGCGTCAGAAGGGGGTGACCAGTACAGCGGCTGTGGCCATTCCTCAACATTGGGCTCCTGGGGTCGGTCCATCCCTTCACTTGTATTGGCTGACACTGGAATCACTCAGACTCATGCTCACCTCTTCTCACTTGCTGGTGGGGTGATCCTTTTCCTTCCATCCATAGCTTGGAATGGTGCCATAAGGTTCACAGTTCAAGGATAGGTAAGGATAGGTAAGAAGTGGGAGTGAGTACTGTTAACGTGAAACTTCACTCTCTCAGTCCACATTGAGTATTTTTAATCCTTATGATGGTAGAATTAGTAAATAGATAAGAATGTATATCATATTTACTTGTTTTAAATGTTTTTTTTTTAGTTAAACTTATGTTCTGATTACTTCCTGGTTTCCATGCCTAGGCAAATGATGCCACACATCCCAGGAGTCTTCAGAAAGGGAAGTGTGTGTGTGGGGGGGGGGGTTCTTAGCCAAGAACACCCTCCTGCCTGCATGCCTGAGCTAGGAGCAGATGGATTCCCAGAAGTAAATGCTACATGCATCATCTGCCCTTACTCAAAATGGCCACGGTTAGAAATGATAGGGGGGGGGGTTCAAAGTGATTTCTCAACAAAATAAAGCATGGACACATGGATGGGGGAGTTTACTTTGAATATTAAAAATGAATTAAATAGCGTGTTCATTTTTTGGTGCTCAGATGCAGTGTAGTTCCACTTTAATGAAAATTTGTACAGTTGTAGGGAAGAAGCAACCAAAAGTCCTGCAAAGTACAGTGGGAGCAGTGTGAAAGCACCATAAAAAATAAAAAATAATCTATTATATTTTAGCCCAGAAGTCTACCAAAGATAGCAATCTGTTTCTGTTTTTTCCTGGTACAAAACTATTACAAGTAATGCAATAAATACAAACTCCTCCTTTGATTGATAAATGTTTCAGGACTTGTTCCCACCATACCCGGAGCTGAATCGCACAGGAACGCGCTGTATGTTCCTGTGCGATTCATATGCGGTTCTGTGCAGTTTGATTTCAAGTCCATTCATTTTGAATTAGGATAAAATTGCAATGCAATGCCTCAACAGTAGTGCATGCACCACTTTTTAAAATGCACTGTAACTGGATCGCACGGTACAAAAGTACCATGCGATCCAGTATGAGCAGATGTGCGCGAACACACTGCGTTTGTGACCTGAGTTCGGGGTGCCATTACATTTTCTTGACACCCGCTGCAAATTGCAAAAGCAGTGCATTTTGCATTCGGGTTGCATTGCAACGCATTCCTGTGCGATTCAGATATGGGCATGGTGTAAACCGGCCCTAAATTAGAAGCTTACTTGCAGTACACTTTGCCACATCTAAAATCCAGAGGTGTGAAAGTAAACCTAGAAACAGGTTAATCAAGATGACTTACAGCCGACACGCAGAAGAAAGCGGGAAAAAAAGATGCAAGCACCGCCGAGGGATCTTGCGGACTTCAGGCCATTGGAGCAGAGTTAAGTAATGCAAACTTTAGTTCAACTTTAATTTTGTTGGTTAGTTAAACATGCCTCTCCTGAATGCAGAAGAATCGTATTGAGGAACGGTATGTTCTGGCCAAAAAACTCCAAACACAGCAAGTTAGCCATGTTTAGAGATTGGGTGTTTATTCATGTCATTGGTAAGTACTCTGGCCAATGAAATGAACTAAATGTCCATAGCTAATCTCAGCTAAACATGGTACCACATTTACATGAGTTTTTGTCGCATTTAGCGTTTTTCTGCTGCCACGTTTAGGGTGTACATGTAGCCTAACACTGCTCTCCCCCCAGAGTGATAATGCTGCTGTCCTATGGTGGCTCCAAGCTCCTCCAGAGTGGAGAAACCCAATGACAGGAAGAGTGTTACTGGCATGATCACCAAGTGAAAATAAAGGAAAAAAGCCTTACAAAAAAAGAAAAATAATACAGCCACCGCATCTAAGAATGCGTAAGTTGCAATATAATCTTCGACTTTGGGGTTAACACCACTTGAATGGTCTAGGAGTACGCCCGATGTCATGTATTTTTGTTTTTACATTTATACTCCTTGCCATCGCCGACACTAATTTTTTCTTTCCTTGCATTTCATCAAATATTAGATGGTTTCTGACATTCGGCAACCGGTAAAACAGTAAATACACAATACCAAGCACCGTGTTTTCATCATTTTTCCTCAAATCAACAACTGGAGTAAAATGAATTTATCAGATCTGTCATTTCAGCCAGAACCACCTTGTAAAGCCTGAGATAAAGCATGAAGGTTATATTAAGTGAGAGTTCTGCATGCTGGCTATAGTAAGAGAAGATATGAATGTAAAAACCCCAAGAGACTTCTATATAGGATTGTCACTGCCAACGTTCACGTGCTGCTCAATGAGCCTGCAGCTTGTTGTTGAGGTGAACCTATGGAGATTTCGTAGAGAACTGGAGAAGTTATATAAAGAGGATGCTTGAATGTGACGCTATTGGCACATTATGTCCCAGCTTCTGTGGGTCAGACAAGGATGCTCAATATTTTAAATTGAAGCTTTAGCAAAGAAAAAGTGCCACGCTTCTTTCCAGTCTGAGGTTATAAATAAGTAAGAATGCATTTTCTAGGTGTTGGTAAATACTGCATATATATTAACCAGGTGCTGCAACTATATATCTCTTATGGTCTACAGCAATTTTTACATTTCTGTCATTGGCCTGTTGAACTGGTCATGACTTATTTATTTATTTATTTTATTATTACAGGTACTTACCGTATTTTTTGCTCCATAAGACGCATCTGACCATAAGACGCGCCTAGGTTTTAGAGGAGAAAAACAAGAAAAAAAATATTCTGAACCAATGAACTGCAGACATAGTACAGGAAGTGACCAGACACTGCGGACACAGTACAGGAGATGACCAGAGACTGCAGACAGTACAAGAGATGACCAGAGACTGCAGACAGTACAAGAGATGACCAAAGACTGCGGACACAGTACAGGAGAAGGACTAGAGACTGCGGACACAGTACAGGAGATGACCAGAGACTGCGGACACAGTACAGGAGATGACCAGAGACTGTGGACACAGTACAGGAGATGACCAGAGACTGTGGACACAGTACAGGAGATGACCAGAGACTGCGGACAGTACAGGAGATGACCAGAGACTGCGGACAGTACAGGAGATGACCAGAGACTGCGGACATAGCACAGGAGATGACCAGAGACTGCGGACACAGTACAGGAGATGACCAGAGACTGCAGACAGTACAAGAGATGACCAGAGCCTGCGGACACAGTACAGGAGATGATCAGAGACTGCGGACACAGTACAGGAGACGACCAGAGATTGCGGACACAGTACAGGAGATGGACCAGAGACTGCGGACATACTACAGGAGATGACCAGAGACTGCGGACATAGTACAGGAGATGGACCAGAGACTGTGGACACAGTACAGGAGATGACCAGAGACTGCAGACATACTACAGGAGATGACCAGAGACTGCAGACATAGTACAGGAGATGGACCAGAGACTGTGGACACAGTACAGGAGATGACCAGAGACTGCAGAACATAGTACAGGGGATGACCAGAGACTGCAGACAGTACAGGGGATGACCAGAGACTGCGGACAGTACAGGAGATGATCAGAGACTGCAGACAGTACAGGAGATGACCAGAGACTGCGGACAGTACAGGAGATGACCAGAGACTGCGGACAGTACAGATGACCAGAGACTGCAGACAGTACAGGGGATGACCAGAGACTGCAGACATACTACAGGAGATGACCAGAGACTGCAGACATAGTACAGGAGATGGACCAGAGACTGCAGGACACAGTACAGGAGATGACCAGAGACTGTGGACATAGTACAGGGGATGACCAGAGACTGCAGACAGTACAGATGACCAGAGACTACAGACAGTACAGGGCATGACCAGACACTGTGGACCTTTAGGGAGGGAGGGGGAGTGGGTACCTGAATTTGACAGGTACCTGCTCCCACTTCCGTGGAGTTCTCCTTCCTATACTGTGTGCACCCGACTTTGACAGCCGGATGCCAACTGCGCATGCGCGAGAAGCGCTGCACTTTGTGAATGGCCTAGCGTCTTTTGAGACCTGTCATGTGTCCCAGGAGACACCGGACCATTCACAAAGCGCAGCACTTCTCTCGCATACGCAGTGGGCACCCGGCTGTCACAGATTCCAGGTCGGGAAGAAGCTGGCATTGGAAGACTACAGTGCTGGCAGAGAACAGCTGAGCGGCTGACCCGGTATTCTGACATGGTGGTGGCGGAAATACCGGACTGGCCGCTTTATATTCGCTCCATAAGATGCACTGACATTTTCCCCCCTTTTTGGGGGGGAAAAAGTGCGTCTCATGGAGCGAAAAATACGGTATATAGCACAGTCAATTTATGCAGTACTTTACACATATATATATATATTGTACATTCCCATCAGTCCCTAATCCTCAAGGAGTGTACAATCTAAGGTCCCTACCTCACATTCATACATACACATACTAGGGCCAATTTAGACAGGAGCAAATTAACCTACCAGCATGTCTTGGAGTGTGGGCGGAAACCCATGTGGGCACAGGGAGAACATGCAAACTCCATACAGGTAGTGCTGTGGTTGGGATTCAAACCAACGATCCTAGTACTGCCAGGCAGAAGTGGTAACCATTTAGCCACTGTGCTGCTGCTGACTTAAAGTGTTACTAAACCCATGATCCGGCATTCACTATATCTGGTGTCCCACAGTACACAGAACAGGGAAATGCAATTATTTTAGTAAATACAAACTGCTAAATACCTTTTCTCATCAGCAGTTAGAGCAGTCTTGTGACTTCTATCAGTGTCCAGCAGAGCACTGGCTAAAATTTGTAGGAGCAATTTTCATTCTCCTCTGTCTTATGAGACTGCAGGACCCCTAACCCTCAGTCTGGACAGTGCTGATTGGCCCTGTGTTTATCACATGCACTCTCCCATAAAAAAAATCTCTAGCAATACATACCAAATTGAGCATGTGCAGCTTGCCCCCGAAGGCTCTGTTCTATCAGGAGATGAGTCGGGTATAGTGGAAGAAGGGGAGGATCACAGAAGACAGGATTAAACATCCTTTTTACACAATGCAGAGGATTAACCCCTTAAGTTCCACAATAAGTATAACAAGCATGTTTTACTGCATATACAGACTGATTTTTACTGTTTTGGGTTTAGTAACACTTTAAGATAATTAAGTAATACATACATCTTTTTTTTTTGGGGGGGGGGGAAAGCTTTCTTTTGGCAATAAGGTCTTGCCAAATCTGTCAAAATTAGTTTATTTTATTTTTTTATACTCTATAGACAATATGATCTAACAAAACTAAAAAAAAAAAAAAAAAAGTTGTCTAGTTTGATCGACTTTTGTTTTAAGGATGGCTCCATATCTATGCACCATGGCAATGTGTGCTTTACCACAACTGTACAGAGTGCAGTGCATTGCTATGGGGTCCTTGCATAGCCATTTGTTCAGTGTATCTGAATGTACTTTTGTTCTGTGCAAGTTGGCAAAAATGTACCTTCTTCAGGCTGTTTTCTCTTCTGAACGAATCTTCTTTTCTTATAGGCAGTAGTAAAATACTGCATTATGTTCACTAGATAAAGCTGAAGATCATGGGGAATGCATAGAAGTTGGTGACAATAGATGCAATGTAACAGTTCTAGAGAACATAATGTACTCAAAGGGACTTAGGAAACTAATATACCTAATTGGGGTTATCAAATAAATATAACCAATGGGAATTAGCAAACAAATGTAACCTTTTATTTTTACATTTATTTGTTAATTCCCTTTAGCATTCTCTAAAATCATTATGCTGTAGCTCTTGGTACAGACATGGATCATTTCAGTGCAGTATTTTACTTCCCATAATAAAAGAACATTCGTTCAGAAGTAAAAATAGCCCAAAAAACATTTGTTTTTGCCCAATTTGCATAGAACAAATGTACATTCAGATTTGCTGGACAAATGGCTACTGGAATTTTTTTTATAAACAGACCCCTTAGTGTTGAAGTGCCATTCATTTAGATTGCCATCCAAACACACATTTATAGCAGTGGCAGACAGACCGGTTGCCACCTGGCTAGGGTGGCACAGACAGTGATAAACTAGCTCTGCCTCACTTTACTAAAAATGTGTTTTTGTGGTCCCTTTGCTTCCTGACCCCTTTAAGCCAGCCCTCAGTTGACTTTATTAACTTTATCAGCATGATACTTTTTCTGTAGAGGTCATCTGAATTTTGATAGCTGATTGGCATCACACACTTTCTCCCAGTTTTTGAGCATGTATAACAGTTCTGTAATTGTTTATATTCCTCTGGTCTATGGATATCTTTTATTTGAAACCATAAGGCATATTCTGAAGCCAGAAGACAGTGTGTGAGGTCAGATAGTTGACACGGCAGCAGCTTTCATTTTCAGACTTTAGTTAAGTTGGCCACACACTGGTAGATTTTCCAAGGAACGGTCATTGTAAGACATTGTAAGGAACAATGATGATTAAGATACTTGCAACATATGCTGATCACCCCTAAGATTTCCAGAGATTTGGTCCCAGGTTTGGTCTTAGTAACACTTGATGATTAATCTGAGATGATGGTATCTATCTAGATATAATTCCTAACACTATACCTGTGTCCTTGTAGAAAAATATACACTGCTTCAGGTGTGCGCCTCACAGCTCCATAAAAGCTGCACAAGCTGCTTTTGCTGTGTCAGATGCTGGTCCAGTTCTTTTCCAAAGAATATCTAACAAGTAAAGGAAGGTGACCGCACTCCAAAAGTGGAAGATCCAAAATTCTTTATAATAAAACCATAAAATCCAAGTGCACAGGCCAGCACAGGACAGCAAGCAGGGGATAACATTGACAAGTTTCAAGCAAGGAATGTGCTTAATCAAAAGCTCATTCCTGCATGAAACGCGTAAATGTAATTCCCTGCTTGTTGATCTGTGCTTGCCTGTGCACTTGGATTTTATGGTTTTATTATAAAGAATTTTGGATCTTCCACTTTGGAGTGCGGTCACTATCCTCTACTTGAGTCCATGTAGACTTTAATCATCTCAATGATGTATACTGTATAACGGTAGGAGGAGGAGCCTGCTGTTTATTAGATGGTAGCTGGAGGACAGTACTCCTGCCTATATTCCTAGTTATTCCAATCACCTGACAGCATTCAGTGGAAATTCCCCCTTAAAAAATGAATGCTTTACACAAACATTTCTGAAAGATTTTAATATCATTCCATCCGTCAAATTATGATATCTACCCATTGTGCCAATTCGCTAATACAGCATGTTGGAACTTGTTCCCCTGTGGCTTTGGCACGAATATGTACGCAGACTCTGGAGTGTTATTTCATTTTATGTATTTCATCTTCAGTTTTAAGGGTCTGATAAGAATTTATCTGAAACTGGAACTGTAGTAAAAAATTCAACCAGACCAAAAACTAAAGTTTTGCATATCAAGAAGAAAAAAAATACATTTTAAAAAGAACAATCTATACATTGACCTTCACAGGATTCCAGTTTCTTGGCATTATCAAAGGTCAGTTAGATCATAAATTAAAAACTGTGGTCCAAAGTTAAATAGGAGCTTTTTGGATCCAGTGCAATAGCAGGAGGTAGGACAAAGTTTGGCATTTGTACAAGTCCAAAATATAGACTGCACCTTGAGGTAAAATCTGAGGCATTCACATATTACTCCTAAGCTTGTTATTTTGTGCTTTGGATGTTCTTGTTATGCATAAATAGCATTAATAAAGTAGGATCAGAAAGGTGGCATCACTATGTTTCATAAACAATGAAATCAGCTCTATGCCTCCAAGCCTTGTGAAAAAAAACTGGGACCCCAATCTACCCTAAATCTCACATTGGCACACTTTGCTAAACAGCACTTTTAGGGCCAGGAAATAATTTAAAAAAAAGTTATGCTTAAATCAGGACTTCATTGTATAGCCCATTTAGCCACAAAAAAAAACATTTGTGATGTCAGGAACTAATGATGTTTGAGAAAACCTGGTTCCATATCGGCATTCTAGTTAATCTCAAAGGCATTTAAAAGCACTGAGATCAGGCCTCTTTGTAGGCTATATGGGTTTCTCTACACCAAACTTGTTTTTGTGTCAACTTGTCAAACCATGTCTTTATGAAGCTGACTCTCCACTGGAACCAGGTTGGAAATGCACAATTGTCTAAAATGTTTGTTTATACTGTATAATTTTCAACAAAAACATCTGAACTTAATAATTTGGAAGGGAGTATTCATAATTTTGAACATACAGTAGGAGCTGCCAGCTGTCCAAAAATGTTTGGCTATATAGTGGCTCATAGAATTTAGCATGTTCTGTAAATGGTCAGGTAGAGGGGGAAAGAGGTAGATAAACCATAGTATGGTTTCTGCTTTTAACAGTCGCAGCACTGGAAGTAGAACAAAAGCTATACCATTTAATATGAATGAAATTGTAAGTAGTAAAGAAGAGGCAGGGATCCTAAAAATGGGAATATACAGTACCTGTAGCTCTACTGCCCAGCTGTTGGCCTTCTAAGCCAATCAGCAGAACATTGTTCCATGTTGCAGTTCATCACCCCCCCCCCCCACACACACACTTTTGGTGGACAATGCAGTGTCTTCAACACAAGAGCGGTGGCTATAAATGGTGGAGAACAAGAAAATAAGGAAGTGCTGTGATTGGCTGAAGCCTAGGAGGGAGCCCATCCCCAAACCAGGGAAGGGGGGAGAGGACAAATGCCAACTCTGTATTCATAATGGCAGGAAGCCACATGGAGGTCAACAGGGACCAGGCATCTGTGTGCTGTACTGAATGGAAGGTTGCTGAGGAATCCTGCAGAAGGTTGTTGCTAGGACCAGGGTGCTGAGTACACCAGAAACTGTGCTGCTGGTACTGTGTGGTGCTGCTATTGGAGACTCAGAGAGAGAGATCGCCACTGAACATGCCAGAAACCATCTGGA